GCTTACAGTTGAATGATTCAAAATGTCACTTTAATAAAAGCAGTTTGCGTTTTCTTGGTCATACTGTATCTGCACAGGGTATTCACCCAGATGAGGATCATCTTAGTGCAATGCTTCATGCTCCAGTTCCTAAAGATGCACCTCCGTTACCTGCTTGGATTGTTGTCATGGTACAATAAATTTATTCCAAATTTCGCTACAGTTGTAGAGCCATTGCGTGCTTGTATCAGACAAGGATCGGAGTTCAGCTGGTCAGATGAGGCTCAGAAGAGTTTCAGTACTGTAAAGGAATTGTTACTCCAAAGCCCTGCTTTAGCATTGTTTGACCCTAACTTGCCCACTGTCGTTTCGACAGATGCATCAGATTATGGACTAGGTGCTGTATATTCTCAAATTCATGAAAACAACACAGAGCGCATTGTTGCATTTGCTTTAAGAACATTGTCGAGTGCTGAACGTAAATATTCAACGATTGAAAAGGAAGCTTTAGCATGTGTCTGGGCTGTTGAAAAATGGAGAACTTACCTCTGGGGTCGGAAATTCCTTTTACGTACAGATCATCAGGCCTTGACAGTGCTCCTCTCCTCTAAAGGCACAGATCGCGCTGGGATGAGAATCGCCCGTTGGGCAGAGCGACTCCTGTGTTTTAATTATGAGGTGAATTATCATCCTGGCTCTAAAAATCAAGTTGCTGATTATCTTTCACGCCTACCCTTGTCTGCTTCTGATGACGATTTCTCTGACACTGAACCAGAGTTTGTTGCATTGTTGTCTTCTGAAATGTCTGCTGTGTCTCCAACTGAATTTGCTTGTGCCTCTGCATCGTGCTCAGAAATGACTGCATTATGTGCTCAGATAGTTTGTGGATGGCCTTCTTCATCAGCTGCTGTGGATGTGGCTCTACGTCCATATTTCCAAATACGTCATGAACTTACTGTGCAAAAGGATTATGTGTTCAGAGGGTCACGTCTTGTTGTTCCTGCTGCATTGCGCTGTGTTTTGGTGAATCTGGCTCATGAAGGACATCAAGGAATAGTGCGGACGAAACAGCGTATTCGTGAACTTTACTGGTGGCCTGGCATTGACTGCTTGGTTAATGAACAAATCAAGAATTGTGAGGTTTGCTTGTCTTCTGATAAGGTTACAACTGTTCGTGCTGCACCTTTACAACCTGTACCTTTTCCATCTATGCCATGGGAAAAAGTGGCTGTTGACATTGTTGGCCCATTTGAAACTGCTACTTGGGATTGTCGGTACATTATGACATTGATTGACTATCATAGTAAGTGGCCAGAAGTAGCATTCACTTCTTCAATCACAAGTAAAAATGTGATCAACTTCTTGACATCAGTCTTCAGCAGATTTGGAAATCCTCATTACATTGTATCTGACAATGGATGTCAGTTCAAGTCAGTGGAGTTTGCAGCATTTCTGAAAGATCGAGACATTCAACACATATATACATCAGTGTATCATCCAGCTGCAAATGGAGCTATTGAGCGATTCCATCGAGTCCTGAAAAGTGCTATTCAATCAACAGTAACAGAGTTTCTTCAAACTTACCGTGCTACTACCCATTCTGTTACTGGACGGTCTCCGTCTGAGTTACTCTGTGGCAGGAAAATGCGTACCCGTCTTAATGTTCTCCCTCTTCCTATCACTTGTAAGGATCCTGATGTGAGGCAGAAAGTGTCATTATCTCAAAAGAAGATGAAAGTATACACAGACCTCACACGAAGAGCCTGTACTCCTGAGTTCAAATCTGGAGACTGGGTGCGTATAAAAATTCCAGTTCATGTGCCAAAAGGACATCCTAGATTCTCAAAGCCTTTGAAAATTGTACATCAACTTGGTCCATGCACTTACCAGTTATCCGATGGAAAAAATTGGCATGCATCTCATCTCTCTCCAGCTTGTGCACCTATGGAAAATGTCATTGAGAGTGAACTGGTGTCATTGCCTCTCCAGTCTGTTCCGTCCTCTACTGTGTTGCCTAAAGATGAACTTGTGAACTTGCCTAATCAAGTTGCTTCTCCATCTGTTCCTGTAAGGTCTTCATCACGAGTGAAACGCCCTCTGCGTTGGTTACATGATTATGTCACTTAGTACAAAAGACATTGAGTACCTTGTGCTAAATGAGAAAGTAATTCTAGTTCTAATAGGTTTGGTTACAGAATGTAGAATATTGTTAAACTAATTGAATTGGATGTAAATATTGTATAAGTTTTGCCTATTGCACCAACTATATGTATTTTGGGTGGAGTTTACAATTTTGAGTAAAGGGGGAATGTTGTGTTTATGTACTTGACAGGAGATGGCGCTGTAGTTCACATGATGTTACCTATAAAAGGTGTAGAGTAAGAAAGGAGGGTGTTGCACCTGCTGTCTAAGGGTGCTTCTCATTTCTTATTTGTGCATCCTCGTTTCCTTCCCTTGCTTCCTTCCCTTGCGTCTCAGCTCCACCCCCTGTAGGACGCGAGGGAAGGAAGCGAGGAAAGGAAAGGAGGACAGAGGAATCGAATAAAAGCTTTTTTATATACATTGGAGTACTTGATGATTCGAGCTTCACTCCACAGTGTCATCAGCAGCGCTAAAAGTATCTGCCCTTATGTTGTTGAAGTTTGGTTATTTAATAAATTCATAATAAATAATAATAAAGATAGGCTATACTGTTGAAATATCTGAGATGTGTGGTTTATATAAACTGCAAAGGTAAAGTATAAATTAAAATGATTGTGACCGATGTGAAGGGGGAGGAGAATTGACACGTGCGTCACGTTTAGTCAATATAACAGTTCCGCGTAGGATGCACCTGTGTATCCTCGCTTATGACTCCTCAGGAAGCCTCCTATCTCCTCGATCCTCGACTCCTCACGGTGCAATTAGAGAATTGAGATGTCCTTCAAGATGGCTGAGCTCGATCGGTTTCCGGGTCATAGGAGGGAGGACGGAGGAGCGAGGAGACGAGGAGGGATATAGACGAATCCGACGAGCGTTCTGTGTAGGCTGCCATCTTGTGGCGACGCCATTACTGAGCTGTTACACAGGCATATAGACATATGCACCGGTATGTAAACAAACCTCGGTGATAACGCGAACTCACCCTCGATGACAGCTACAGCCAGGCAGAATGACTTGTTGGTTTGATCTGTGACTGCAGTGGCCTCCAGTCACAGATGAAGGTACAAACGATCTTACAGATTAATGTTATTTATGAAAATAGCTTGGCAAGCTAGCTAGGCTAACGTTTGCTAACGAGGAAACTATAAAAAGATCTGTCCATTTGGCAACAATAAATAAATAAATGAATGAAATCAAATAAACAAATTCATGTTTTTCATTTGTGTCCATTATTTATCTCATTTTCACTTTGCAACAGGCAAGGGTAAGGTAACATTACAGCTAGAAAGTATACATAATATCGACCAATAGTGTTTTTAAACCATGGAAAGAGGTCAATATAACAGCAGGAAAACAATTATGTACATAACGTTACATTTAGCTCAGGAAAGCCATTTAATGACCATAGCATGTTAATTGAATAGAAAAAATAGCAAGAGAGGAGATTTTGCTGATCACTATATCACATATTTATTATATATTTTTTACTTATGTCATTAAATAATTGTTATTATACGCGAATGTCCACGTCTTGTACTCGCCCAGGAAATCTGTAAACCGTATGGCACCAGACAGGGGCAGTCGACCCGGGGTATTCACAATGTTTTCTCTTCAAAATTGAAATTTTACTGCCACCATTGAAACAATTTATAACGGAAACTGTTTACCCACTCGATATTATACAAGGGATAACGTTGTAACGTTAGTGACAGTCGTAAATCGCGGGCTGTTTATTCCAGTGGACACAAGTTGCAACTAAAACAATAGGAGGCAATGGCGCAACTCTACCCAGCAACAGCTCAGTAATGGCGCCCCGCTTACTTCCGGTAGTTTCGCCGGATTCGTCTATTGAGAAGCACCCTAATTATGTGATCGTGTGGCACTGTTGCCTTGCTTGTGGGTTTGAATAAACCTTGAAGAAGTTACAAGTTTCTTGTCTTCATGATTACCAGAACTTAAGACATAACAATATAATTCGTATAATTTGTGTTTATCTTTGGTCTCATTAATCTATAAATGGTTCCCTGGTAAATGGTTTTGTCTGAGGGCAAAGTAAAGTTTCATAATTTTATATTTAGGCTATTTTAACATTGTATGTTTGACTGAAGCTACTTCTGTTATAATGGCTAGCCTATTACTGATCTATAAAACTGAAATTTAACACAAAGAGCTAAATATTAAATATATTTTGTGTGTGTGTTTATTCTGTAGTTGAAATGTCTTATTCTATATTAATAAACTATTATCAATATTTTTACATGTATTCATTACCATTTTATTTGCTGTATACTATTTGTTTATTTTATTGACTAAACTATTTACTATTACTTTTCACTTTGTGTTATAATTACTATTTGCATTGCACTGCATGCCCAGTTGTAGCCTACCACAACATATGAAGAGTTCAGATGCAAAAGCCTCTAAATGCCATTTGAAATGTTCTTCTTTAATGAATCAAACTTAAGTGAAATTAATGAAATAAAATATACAAGTTTGATAAAAATCATCATTAAAGAAGAAAATTTCAAATGGCATTTAGAGGCTTTTGCATCTGAACTCTTCATATTATCATAAAGGATCCATCATCAGTTATCAATGTTATTGCTAAAATGTGGTCAATCACATAAAATGCTTTTTCTACAATGAGCAAACTTAAATATCTCCGTATGGGGATCTTCACCATTCTTATCCAAGAATGTTTTTATCCAGAAGAACGCAGCTCACCCGTTTACTCGCGTTTAATTACAATGCAGTCTTGACCTCCGCAAAATGGCGGACCCGTTGACGTATCGCAGCAACGTTCCAAAGCGGCCAATAGGGCGTCTATGTATGTATTATGTCTATGGCCATAGCTGCGTGTTTGCGTCATTTGCTGCTGCATTGTGGGTATGGTGAAAAGATATTAGCGGAGCCGCGCCATTTTTTGTGTGTTTCCAGCTGAAAACGAGATTTTCTGCTTAGTGAAGGGTTTGAATCGTTTCCCTGTCGGATTACAATACAGAACGAGTTGTTATTAAAATGGGACGAAAGAAGAAGAAGCAAATGAAGCCATGGTGCTGGTATCTTTTCCATGACCCGACGTGGCCTGTTCAGTGCTGTTGCAGCAGCGTGATCATGATTTCAAGCTCATGCCGTCAGTCTCAGGATATAGTTTATTGCTACACATTAAAGGAAGGGCAGAAACCTGTATGTTTAGTATTGCTGAATTGTGTTGTTTTGATGCCATTTTAGTTTGAATGTAATGGTTATTATGGTTAAGGGAGTATTTTAGACACAATAGCTGTCTCGACGTAGCTATGCGCTTCCTGAACATTTTGCGCTGCAATGGTGGGGTAGAACTGCAGATGCATTTTTAAATCATTGAATTTTTATGTTCAAGCATTTCACATCTTTTTTTATATGCAGAGTTTTCTCCTCCCCTGAATATGATCCTTAACCAGAACTTAAGGTACTGCAACAGAGATTTTGATGATGAAAAGATTCTCATTCAGCATCAGAAAGCCAAACATTTCAAATGTCATATTTGTCACAAGAAGCTGTACACGGGGCCTGGATTAGCCATACATTGCATGCAGGTATGGACCTTTAATAACACATACTACATTGATGTTTGCTGAGGGGTGTTGAATTAAATCTTTTTCTTTTTTTAAAGGTGCACAAAGAGACAATAGATGGAGTTCCTAATGCAATACCAGGAAGAACAGACATAGAACTGGAAATCTACGGTATGGAGGGTATTCCAGAAAAAGACATGCAAGACCGGAGAAGAGTACTTGAACAAAAGTCGCATGGTACAGTGTAATAGTGCTTAGGCAATCTAAGTGGTTTGTAAAATCTCAATAGAATGGTTTCTCACAGATATAACCTTGTGCTGTCTGAGCAGAGAGTCAGAAGAAGAAACCAAATCAGGATGATTCTGATGAGGAGGATGATGATGATGATGATGAAGCCGGGCCTTCGTCATTTCAGCAGCCTGCTGCTCAGCCTCAGGCTGCCTACATGCCTCCTATGACCCAGGCAGGCATCCATCATGTTGCTCATGCCCAAGGCATGCCACATGGTTATGCAGGTGTGAATGACTAAAGTTTACAGCTCACAGCTCTGTACAGCTCAAGCAAAAGTGTGGCCCATTAAGACATAATATCTTTTCCTAAAGGCATGCCACATATGTTGACTGGTGTCCCACCAATGATTCCTGGAATGCCACCAGTAATGCCAGGCATGCCACCAGGGTAGGTCTCAATGTTAAATTATGTAAATTATAACTTTATTATTATGGTCCAGTGTGATTAATCTTTGGTTCTGTTATGAATAGCATGATGCCAATGGGAGGGATGATGCATCCGATGATGCCTGGCATGCCACCAGGTCAGTGTTGTAGGCAGTCATTAACCTATTTAAATAGACTAGTTAATATGAATAAGTCATTATTTTTAGTGATGGATTAATAGGAAAACTTTCATTTCGCTTTGGTAAATGAATTAAAAATAATTTCAATAACATTAAATAAAAGATTGCTAATTAAACATGCTAATTGTATACTGTTCAGGGTTTTGTTCTTGGGAAAAATAAAACGAGTAATAGTAAAGTTTTTTTTTGGCAACAAGCTTCCTCTATTTTAGCTGAACAATTTTTACATATGCCACTCCTAGCAGAATTTTTGGTCACTGTAAAGTGCTTACACCCTGCTGACATTTTAACCTGTTATAGCTTATCCATATTTTGCACATGAAACACTCAAAACACTTCATCTGAGGAGCGTCTATTAAATGTTATGTTTTAAATCAGTGGGTTTAAAAGGAAATAGTTTCTTTTTGCTGTTTAGACCGAATATATTCCGTCACCAAAACTTTGTGCATCTGTAATAATACAGATGTAATCAATGGGAAAAACACAAAAGGTTGTAGTAGCAAACAATTTTTCTTGTTTATAGGAATGCCACCCCATGTTGCAAGGCCTGGCATGCCTCCTATGGCACCTGCAGCCCCTGTCACAGCTCCTGTAATGGCCAGCAGACCAGCTGTACCTGCCACACAGTCTGTTGCTTCTAAACCCCTCTTCCCCAGCGCTGTGCAGGTACTGAACATAGGACCAGACTAACTTGTTTGCTCGATTAATACCGTATTGTTCCAAATATAAGACACCCCCCCCCCCCCCTTTTTTCAAGATGTACCTTTTGGAAAAAGCCTTTTTGACAACCAAAACTTGTATTTTAAAGAAAATAATTTATTTAAAATATTTCATATTAAATATTTTTCTTATTTAAATTTAAGATTTTTTTTTTTTAATTTAAAGTATGGTAATTACTATGGAAGCTTGTTTCCGCCATTGAATAAAAAATATAATAAAGAATTGTGACTTTTTATCTTACAATTCTGACTTTTTTTCTCACAATTCTGACTTTTTTTCTCACAATTGCGAGTTTATATCTCACAATTCTGACTTTATTTCTCAGAATTGCGTGATATAAAGTCGCAATTGCGAGTTATAAAGTCAGAATTGTGTGTTATAAAGTCAGAATTGCGAGATATAAAGTCAGAATTGCGTGATATAAAGTCAGAATTGTGAGATATAAAGTCGCAATTCTGAGAAAAAAAGACAGAAGTGTGACTTTTTTTCTCACAATTGCGAGTTTACATCTCGCAATTCTGACTTTATAACACATAATTGCGAGTTTATATGTCGAAATTCTGACATCTTTTCTCAGAATTGTGAGATATAAACTCGCAATTGCGACTTATTAGGCCAATTCTTTTTCCCCATCAGAAGAGTTTAAATCTCACAATTCTGACTTTATATCATGCAATTCTGACTTTAAAACTCGCAATTGCGACTTTATATCACGCAATTCTGACTTTATAACTCGCATTGCGACTTTATATCACGCAATTCTGACTTTATGTCTCGCAATTCTGACTTTATAACTCGCAATTGCGACTTTATATCACGCAATTCTGACTTTTTTATCTCGCAATTGCGACTTTATATCACGCAATTCTGACTTTTTATCTCGCAATTCTGACTTTATAACTCGCAATTGCGACTTTATATCTCGCAATTCTGACTTTTTATCTCGCAATTGCGACTTTATATCACGCAATTCTGACTTTATATCTCGCAATTCTGACTTTATAACTCGCAATTGCGACTTTATATCACGCAATTCGGACTTTTTATCTCGCAATTGTGAGAAAAAAAGTCAGAATTGTGAGATAAAAAGTCGCAATTATTTATTTTATTTTTTTATTCAGTGGCGGAAACAAGCTTCCATAAATTACTGGTCAAATACACCAACAACAATCACATTAAGAAATGAACATTTTATGGCATAGCTACCATTAAAAATAACCTTAACTTCTCATTTAGTAGATTTCACTAACTGATTTCTCAGATTTTTTTTATGTACAGTGACAGATGCTGGCATGTCAAAAACACAGGTGTTAGCTCTGCATTATCTGATCCAGGGATGTGAATGTTTTTTCCTTAGGGTGATCACATAGCACTGAGAAAAAATCACATTATAAAATAAATAATCATACACCGACGGCGGTGTCAGCCATGCAAGGCGCCATTTCATTCAATTCCATGTTCCTAGTCACCCTGGTGTGCTAAAAAAGGTAAATATTAATGGGAATACTTCATAGATATTTTATTCATAAAAAATTCTAGGGGTATGAATAATTGTGGCCAACGTGTTTTGGAGAAAAACATTTATTTTATAATGTGATTTCCCCCTCACTTTCAATTCTTTTACTTAAACGAAAGGTTAGGATTTTGCCAATTTTATGAATGAAAGATCAAAAGGATAAACGATGCAGTTTTTTTTTTTTTTTACAGCCAATTTTGATCATATTTACCAGGGGTATGATTAATTCTGGGCTCGACTGTATGTATGTGTATATGTGTATATGAAGAGTTCAGATGCAAAAGCCTGTAAGTGCCATTTGAAATTTTCTTCTAGAATGATCATTTTTATCAAGCTTGTATATTTAATTTCAGTGATTTCACTTAAATGGCAATGATAATTACCTATTAATTGTTATTTAAGTGAAATCACAGAACTTAAATATACAAATTTGACAAAAATCATCATTAAAGAAGAAAATTTCAAATGGCATTTAGAGGCTTTTGCATCTGAACTCTTCATATATATATATATATATATATATATATATATATATATATACGTATATATACACACACACACACACACACACACACACTGTTATCCTTTCTCTCTGTGCTTCAGATGGGGACTGGTGTTGTGAGCCCCAGCGCCGCCCCTGCAAGTGCAGAGACACAGTCAGCCTCCTCTAAGCCTCTGTTCCTTAGTTCTGCCCAAGTACGCACTAGTTTGTGTGCTTCTCTTTACTGCAGCACAGCATGCAGATCAGACTCGCTTGTTTCTGTCATTAGTATATGCACACCTGCATATGAAGACTGTGGTGTTGGTATTTAGGGCAATATTTAGCTGCTTAGTGATTTAATTTGGTTCTTGATGCATGCATGTGCTATTAACGTTCAGCATGTTATATGTACTTGTACTAGCTTTTTTCTTTGTATCATAAAAGATTTGTATTTTGCTTATGTACGAATTGTATTATGTTTTTTTTAATTGATTTTTTTTTCTATAATTATCCAAAACCTCTCTACTTGACCTTTTTTTGCCTTCCTTTAAAAAATAATAATTATAATTTAGCAATGCGTGCTGTGATTGGGCAAAACATTTGTTTTTCTTTCAAGCTTGTTTTGAAATGTCAGTTTTTCCTTTCAGGCGCAGCAGACTGTATCAGGACCATCATCAAACTCTTCTGATTCTCCTAAAGTGACATTCCCAGCCTACACCCAGCCTTCCTCCACTCCTTCTGTTGCTGTCTCCTCCAGCACTGTGGCCAAACCCCCTGCCACAGTCACAAGTAAGCCAGCCACCCTCACCACCTTGAGTGCTACCAGTAAGTTGATGCACCCTGATGAGGATATTTCGCTGGTGAGTGCTGGAGTTTTGCTCTAACTACTTTTTTTGACAGTAAGTAATTGTGAATGCATTATCTGGTGTTAAAGGGAATATTGCAATAGCACAAATTTGCCAATTAAGTGATGTTGTGAGAATACATGCAGTCCAAAGTGTTCTTGTCACTGCAAGTGTCTGATTACATTGTTATTGTCTTGGCCACAATTAAGGAAGAGAGACGGGCTCAGCTGCCTAGGTACCAGAGGCTAATCCCTCGGTCTGGGCAGACTGCAGCAGCTGCTGCCTCGGCTCCCCCTACTGGAGCGGTGGGAGGAATGATACCTCCACAGCAGCCTGGAATGAGGCATCCCATACATGGTAAGATTGTGTCTAGGGATGTCCCAATACCACTTTTTCACTTCCGATGCCGCAGCTTTGGCTTTTGCAGATACCAATATTAATCCGATATTTTTATTTATTCTTAAGCTTATAAAACTTTATAGTACTTTTCTCAATTACCTAAAAATACCACCTAAAATATACCTCCAGTATATAGTCCACAACAACAGTTGATTATGAAAGATTGCCACCCTTTAATCAAACACTACTACTACAAAAAAAGAAAATACAGCTACTTCAGTACTCAAAGCTAGCTAGCTACCAACAGGTTTAAAGTTAAAACAATTTAAACAGCAGAATTCTACAATTTTTTACAAATTGTCATTTCTTTTTTAAATCAAGTAGAATTTCTATAACGGTGCGACTATTTTAAGCCTTGTTAGTGGTATAAACTAGCGATTTCGTTTTACTTAGTCAATGCCCCCATTACTAGCATTATACACTAAACAGTTTTTGTAGATAAAACTCTTTACATTCGATTATCATGAAAACAAATCTCAGAGAACGATTGACTAGGTACCGATGTTTTATTAGACCAAAGGTTCATTGTTCGCCGGAGTTCTCCTTTAACATTGAATCATCTTGAAGATAGTTTCATCGTTGACTGTAACCAAACGCGACGTGCTGATTAGACACTGAATGGAGAATGACTGACAGCCACAGAGGAGGGAAAAGTTTACGTGATCTTGAATTTAATGACTAAAATATAATTTCTCTCTCACGTAATGGCTTCAGAACACTTATAGAGTGCACAAACACGTTATGGTGCTTTAGAATGTTTCTGTGCCTTTTGTGGGGCTTAACAATAACACATAATAGTATACGCTCAAAATCGGTTTTGGATCGGCCTTGTCTGATTGATACCCGACCCGTCAAAAATGGCAGTATCGAACCCGATACCGATCCTGAGTATCGGATCGGGACATCCCTAATTGTGTCTAGGTCGTATCATTTCTGTGTTAGTCACCGTCACAGAATTTTTCCTGTATTCAAACCATTTTAGCTGCCTCCTAAATTGAAACCAAAGATTTGTTTGATGTGCCGTTCTGTAGCATTGATACTCGCTGATAGCCATCTGTTTTAAAACGCTCCCATGAGTGTTTGTGTTTGCACTCTGTGATAGACAGAGTGGGCCTCCCATGGGCATAAGGCCATCCGTAATGTCTCCAGGCAGCCGATACTGAAACATTGCTGTCGTCCCATTAGGTTTGGAGGTTAAGATTTCAAAGAAGTCAAAGGTTTCTATTTACAATGTGTTTTGGCATCATTAAGCTTTGTAGCCAATAACAGTGTAGTACTGTTTTCTGTTTCACACACAACCGAAGCACCGTTTAATAAGAAGATACTTTATGAAGACAGTTCACTTCGCGTATACAGACAGGAGCCATCTTAAAAAATAGTCTCGATAAGTCGATCCCCGAACGCCGTTCATACAGTTCAGAAGTTCGTTGAACTTCATAGAGTTCAGATCACTCAGCACGACGTTCGTGGTTTGACTTATCGAGACTTTTAAGATGGCTCCTGTCTCTATTCGCGAAGTGGACTGTCTTCATAAAGTATCTTCTTATTAAACGGTCTGTACACTTACAAAGTTCTCAATGCTTCGTTTTGCATGTATGGAGCCTCATTATGTTACTGCGTTAGTGTGGGGCTATTTTGAGCCTTGTTAGTGGTATAAACTAGCGATTTCTTTTTACTTAGTCAATGCCCCCATTACTAGCATTATACGCTAAACAGTTTTTAGTAGGGGTGTAACGGTACATGTATTCGTATTGAACCGTTTCGGTTCGAGGCTTCCGGTTCGGTACGCATACAAACCGAACGATTGCTTGGACCATTTTTCCTGCCGGCAAAATTCGTGCTGACGCGGCCAACACAACGTTGCGCAACATCAAATGGCAAGCGTAATGAAAGCAGAACGAAACTGCGCTGCTACTCGTTATGTGCTTCACGGATCGTTTATCAGTTCGGACCAGCAACATCTGTGCAGCGCGAGCCGATCACGATCAAGCAACACTGTTACTACACAGCACTAAGAGATCCGGTAAAGAAAACATTTGAATTGGCCACTGAGGTAATAACATCGCTGCGAGATCTAGTGAGAAGCATTCACATTTCTCCGTTATTAACCGTAGATCTCTATTAGATCAAACAGCGCTGTCATGGAAACCAGGAGAAACATTGTGCCGTGAATGAACTAGTAATACTTTCGTCCACAGACCAGCAACATTCACCATGGATTTAATATAGTAACACTAACTGGAACCAGTTTGGCTGGAATGGTGAAATGCTTTCAAGTACTTCACACATCTTTTTCCAGCACTTCAAAATTCAAATATTATATAAATAAATATATATTTAAATGTTATTTTTAATGTGATGACCAAAACATTATTTGTTCATCCTTCAAAGATGACTCATTTATAAATCTGAAAGTTTCAAGATCTAGGAAAACACACTTATTTAAAAATATTTTTTCTTTAAACAAATAGGAAATTTCTCTGGCATTTTGCTGTATCGAAAACGTACCGAACCGTGACTTTAAAACCGAGGTACGTACCGAACCGTGATTTTTGTGTACCGTTACACCCCTAGTTTTTAGAGATAAAACTCTTTACATTCGATTATCATGAAAACAAATCTCAGAGAACGGTTGACTATGTACCGATGTTTTATTAGACCAAAGGTTCATTGTTCGCCGGAGTTCTCCTTTAACTCTCGTGGTGATACAAACAGCTGCAGGTATATTAGGCTGCTGTCATTTCAAGATAAATTAATGGATCCAATATTATTATATGCATCAGTTTTCTTTGTCAGTTATACAAACTGACTGTTAACAAGGATTCCCGCTGAGACTGTCATTTCACAAGTTTCTGTCTTCTTGCGCTTGATGTTTAAACTGACAGGACTTAAACACACAAATAATAAACTTTCACTATAGTTTACTCACAATATGCGTTTTGTTTTTTGTTTTTTTGCTCTCAGGTCAGTATGGTGGTCCTCCACAGGGCATGCCTAGTTATCTGACTGGTGGCATGCCTCCTTATGGACAGAGTGCCCCAATGGTGCCCTCATACCAAGCTGGCCCACCTGGGCCTCCCATGGGCATAAGGCCACCCGTAATGTCTCCAGGCAGCCGATACTGAAACAGCGCTGTCGTCCCACTAGGTTTGGAGGTTAAACCTTTTCTCATCTTGTGCTTTTAATGTAGCCAAACCAATGAGCTCTAAACCCACTGCTGAAGAAAAAAACGGACATTTAAGATATGTAATATCACACAAAAGCATTGGATTCAGCCCTTAAATAAAGACTTTGCAGATAACAGCAGTATCAATGTTACACTTGATACATGTATTGCTTTTCTTCCTGTTGTGTTTCATTCAGGTTGTACAAGTACAGTATATTAGACAAAGGTTCATAATATATTGAAGCTGCTGGCCTAACAGTATCTCCATGCACAAGGCAAGTTCCCAGTAAGATTTCTGCTTTTATCTTAGTTGTGAAGCCCTCACAGCACCATACTGTGCTGTTGGACTTAACGTCCCCAACATCAGATTGGTGAGGGCTTCAGATCAATGTTGTCATGGTGTTTTTTTTTTTTGTTTGTTTTGTTTTTTTTTAACTGTTTGCATCCATTTGTTCAGGGTTTAAATAGCACATGGGTAAATGCGTCTTTCTGCAATTGTTTTTGTTTCCTTTTTTTTTTGCTATGTTTATTGTAATAAAACATGCTTAATTTTGATTTTTTTTCTTCTTGATTTTGTTTTTGTGTGAGTGTTTCATGAACAATGGAGTCTTCAGGCAGGTTGGTTTTCTTGATGAAGCCATAATGACGTTACAGATACACTTACTCTGTCAATAACTAATTTGTTCTGGAATGTTCATATAGGCATTTAGTCTTAACACAGCATTAAGAGTAATTTATAGTAAAGAATAAAACTTTAATCACTCCTTTTAATATTTTTAACTGTCAATTGACACATTTTTCGCTTAACCTAGTTGCATGAATGAGCTTTCCAGAAGTTGGTTTTAATTGCACCACACATTTGTCTGACATGACATGCTTGATGTGATATTTCTCACTTACCAGTATTAAATTGGTACAATGGCTTGGAAGCATTTCCTGGTCTGCAGGTAAGACCCGCTGTGTGAATTATATTGCAAAGAATCCAATTTTACTGCATGTTTTTGTATTTCACCCATGGGTTTTAGTCTCATGTAATGGATTCCTCACAAGAGGAATATGATGTCTGTTTTATCATTTGGGAAATGCAGGAAAAATTGCCTGAAGATATTTACCAGTTAAGAGTTTGCCAGACTGTCACACAATTTAAATTTTTCTCTTTTAGGGTAGCCAACCCTGCTCCTGGAGATCTAAAAGTCTTGCAGGGTCAAACACATTTGAACCACATGTTATAACCATGGTGTTTAGGATTGCTTGAAATTTCCAGGTGTGATGGTGCAATGCTGGAACTGAACTGCAGGAATTAAGCTCTCCAGGAGCGGGGGTGGCTACCCTTGCTTTAAATTGACTTGATTTTACATTATAGGTTTTCATCTTTACTTCCTAATTTAGGGTTACTTGTTGGAATACCAATAAGTATTGTTATGATTGTTGCTCCTGATATAGAGTAGAAAGGGATGTTATTTTTTCATGGACTGATGTTGTGAAATAAACAACTGTATTCTAATTTGATTCATTGCTTGGATGTTTAATACACAATACAGTACCAGTCAAAATGGGTTTTAAGGTTATTTTCCACACATGGAAACAATTTTTCCCTCTCTTGTCATGCTATTTGGTTTTAATTGAGGTGTTTTTCCAACAGTTTTTATAAGCTTTGCTATATAGTAGAGGTGGTTTGGCCATAGTATTAAAACCATCTTTTGGCAAAATTTCTCATATTGTAGTGAGTGAATCAACTAATCTTACACCATATCTTACTAAGTATCATATCACAAAGTTAACCACAAAATTCAAGAACATTAACTCTTGAACTCCTAAACTTATGTCATAACGGAACCTTAAAGGAGCTGTATGTAAGAAATTTATTTCAAATAATCATAAAATGGCCCTGATGTGTCACTAGACATTAAGAAATCATGTTCATTTTAAATAGTTATATCACTGACAACAGCAGTCCGGCCAGGATATTGTCATTTAAAAAGTGTTGTTGCAGCCTTCAACTGTCATGTTGTGTTTTGGTCTGATGCTCCACTCTCCACCGATCTACCAATCACGAAGTCAGTAGTGTTGCAGCATTCGGGTTGCCAGCTCTGCTCTAGTTACCACAGCTGCAGATACAAATGTGTGGGGTAAAAAAAGTTGGATCCTGCAGCATATCTGGCAACCTGGAGTCAGGGGGAGGCGGAGGGGATACACCGCTCTACAGAAATTTAAAACTGATTGCAGTACCAGTTTTGGCCACAATCTTACATACAGCTCCTTTAAACACTAATATGTATTCCCCTTATTGGAAAAAAAAAAAAAAAAAACACTGTAAAAAAGAAAAAGTTAGTTCAACTTAAATTTTAAAGGCAACCGACTGCACAGAATTTTTGAGTTTAAGATATCAACTTATTTTTTTAAGTTTTACAGAACTACAATTATTAAAGCTGCCGTCGGCAAAATTTTTTTGCTCATATTCAGTGAGATCGACACTACAATCCGACAGAACAACACAAATAAAGTGGTTTTAGAAAAAACCCGAGTTTCTAACTCCATCTGGGGCCCGTTCTTCGTACGTTGCTTAAAACATCCGAGATCAAATGAGACATCCAAGATAATATCATCGTGCTCATCATGATCCAGCTAATTTGGTTCTTTGAACACTCCTTCTGGTTATGATTAGTATAGCTGGATTGAGTTATGTGAGATAATTGCGCGTTCATGCGCTGGGTTAAAAGGGGATATGTATCGATACTAGAAACATTGATCAGCAATGCTGCTATTGGCTGTTCGCCGTGGCCAATAGCGCGCTCAGCTTTTTTCTCCACAGAAGAGCAAGAGTTATTGCTTGAAGGATAAGCTGAATTTGAAAACTTAATTAAAAACGCAGGAAACACCTTAAGGCCGGATTCACATGTAGAAAACGCTGGGCGCGCCACATTCTCCATTTTCCAAAGCGCCAGGGTGGTTGTGCTTCAGTTGGTTCTTGTCACATCTCACATGACCTGTGTGCGTATGGTGCGCTTGCGGTATTCTGAAAAGTTGAGATGTATTTATCTCGGCGCGGTGCAGACGCGCATGGAAAAAACGAGCGCGTCGCACCGCGACCGCATCGCTTCCATTATGAGCGCGCATACCGCGCGCCTACATTTGAAATAACGAACTTGAGCAAGACGCGATATGTGAACCGGCCCTAAGTGTGCAAAAGCCAGGAGAGAGAGCCGGGCAGCCGGCAAAAAGTAGCAGACAAATTAAGTTTGTAGTTAGATGTTTTTATCACTTATTACAGTATATATTTTTATATTTTATTTCTATTTTAATAATTTCTAAATAATTAACTTTTTTCATTGTAATGTCAGAGTCACACCCACTGCTAGAACATAGGAACAAGTGAAGTAGCCTACTAGAATATTCTACATAATAGTAATTTGTATAGTAATCCATTTTAAAAAGGCACTGTTAATAAATGTTTGCCTGTTTATAAAAGCAAGAAAAAGGCTGAGAAAAAAAAAGAAAAGAAAAACAAACAGGTGGTGGTCCTGCACCCCCACAGCAGGCAAAAGAGCTGGCCCTTGGGTTAAATGTGAACCTTGTGGAGGGCATCCTTGTGTTCAGCTCTTCCTCACACACATATAGCGCCTTCACTGCTGGTAAATGAACTTTAAATGATCCTAGTACACTATAAAATAATTTGTTGCTGCATTAAATTAAGTAGGCCTATAATCCAAATGGCTGTCCAGTCATATCAGCTGTTAAACCTTAGTAATGAATTGCTTTGACTTGTGAAAGTCTACATGTGTGACTGTGAAACTACATAATTTAAATAACTACATAACTTAATGTAAAAAAAAAAAAATGTTGCCATGAGTTATTGATCACATTTCCCCCCACCGTACTTCATTGTATTACTTCAATATACTAACACTTTTATTTGTTCCCAAGCAAGTGGCTGAAGCATGTGCAGTAAGTGGACTTTTTTGTTACATCAAAAGGGAAGAAAGTACAACACTTTGAAATGCCCATTTTCTCCAATGCACATGACAGTGAAGAAACCCTCTCAGGTATCTTTAAGTGCATAAATAGCTTTACTTAATTTACACTTGAATACCTATTATTTCTGAATGCAATATGAGTTGCAGGAGTCCACATCTACAGAAGAGTCTGCACAAAGCAGTGATGCAGAGGTGGCAGTGTTGTACTTTTCCTTTTAAACGTACAGTATGCGAGTTTTGGCCACCAGAGGTCACTCATTTAAAATAATAACAAAAGACTTACTTTGATGACGTCGGGAAAGAGCGTGGGCTCACGGGAGTTGTTGTCGCTGTCAATGACAACCAGCTCAGCTCATGACATGTGTTACGGTCCCTGGGGCTCGTTCTTCGTACGTTGCTTAAAACATCCGAGATCAAATGAGAGATCTAAGATGATATCATCGTGCTAATCATGATCCGGCTAATTGGGTTCTTCGAACACACCTGTTGTTTATGATTAGTATCGCTGGATTGAGTTATCTGAGATAACTGCGCGTTCTCGCGTTGGTTTAAAAGGGGACATGTATCGATAGCAGAACCAGTGATCAGCAGCGCTGCTATTGGCTGTTCAGCATGGCCAAAGAACACGCCCAGTTTTTCTCCCAAGCAGAGCAAGCGCTTTTAATGCAAGGTTATGCCGAATTTCAGTCTTTAATTAAAACGCCAGGGAACACCTCAAAGTGTGCAAAAGCCAGGAGAGAGTGCTGGCAAAACTAGAAGACAAATTAAATGCGTTTGTGGTGACCATGTTAGATGTTTTAATAACTTATTATTATTTTATTTTTATTTTCATAATTTCATAATTACTTTGTTCATTGTAATGTCGAGTCACCGCACTATAATAATGGACATGGTCAAAGTGAAGTATAAATATTCTACTTAATGGTAATTTTAGGCCTTATAGGCCTACTAGTCTCTTTTAAAAAGGCACTGTTAAATAAATGATTGTCTGTTTATAAAAGCAACCAGGAAAAAGGCTGAGAAAAAAATAATAATGATGCTCCTGACCCTGGCAGAAGAGCTGACCCTTGGGTTGAATGTGAATTGCCCTGTTGTGAAGGGCATCCCTGGGTTCAGCTCTTCCAGACCCACATCAGGGACCAGCAGCAGCAACACCTTCATCACTGGGAAATGAGATTTAAATTATCTTTGTACACTATGAAATAATTTGTTGCTGCATTAAATGAAGTAGACCTATAATCCAAATTGGCTGGTTTAGTCATTTCAGCTGTTAAATCTTGAGTAATGATAAATTGCTTTGTCTTTTGAAAGTAAAAACTGATAAACTTATGTTAATGTAAAAATATTTTGCCATGAGTTATCAATCACATTGCACTGGAGAGTGAAGAAAACTTCTCAGATGACTGTCCTTTGGAGGAAGAACTTTAATTTAATTGATGGCTTTAATTGATTTCTACTTGTGCCTATGCCTGTTATTTCTGAGAGGAGTCCACATGTACAGAAAGGCCTACAGAAGAGTCTGCACACAGCAGTGATACAGGGGTGGGCAGTGTAGAGACAACTTTTGCTTTTTATTTGTTGCATGAGGCATGTGTGACACAAACGACACAGGTTAAATTCGTCCCCTATGAGTCTTCAACAGAAAATAGAGTATTTTGAAAAAACAAAAATCAGGGGAGAAACAGAACTTGACTAAGAAAAATTGCACTAGAAATAGAATTGCTTCAAAATAAACTTCAGAGTAAAATCACACAGAGTACTATTGCTGACCTTGCATAATATCTTTTAAAAAGATGACTGAATAACTGGCTTTTCTTTACAAAGAACAATTGAAATAAAACTCTAAGCAAATAGAGTTTTGCAAATTTGTCTTGTCTTTTATTTTAGGCTTAATGAAACTTTTTTTTTTTTTTTCTGATGTTGGCAGTGTTGTGTAATATGGCACATGCAATGTCACAGGCCCTGTCAGGTGCAACCCTCAGGCTTTTTAGACCCTGAAATCTTCCTTTAGTTGGCCAAAGCTCATGTCATTGTGGCAAAAAAAAAAAAAAAAACTAAGAGCACTACTTTGTGAATGGCACGACAGAAAGCTTATCAAGTTCTCCGCATCTCCAGTAGTGTAAAGGAAACCACTCGCAAATAATTTTAGGCAATGCAAACATTTTGTACTGTTGTTGAAGCCCGACATCGAATCAAACATTAATGTGCATTTCCAACAAAATAATAATGTATTTAAACGACACCCTCACGACGATCGTTTCACGAGAAAACAAAAATAAATCTCAGAAATTAGGCTACACACTATCGCGCTGCGCTGAAGGACTTCCCGTATCAGCCGCGATCTAATCCTGTTTACATGAAATAAGCCTGCTCGCGAGCAGGTTCAAGCTGACGGACCAGTTGCTATGACAGCAAGTCCAGGATGAGCGTCGAAGAACCAAACGATCCAAGATCATGCCAAATCGCCAACAATCAAATCCAGCTAACTGGGTTAGCGACGTACGAAGAACGAGCCCCGGATGTGCTGCGATGATG